CGTATTTCTGCCAGATTGAGAATAGGTACTTGTTGTGGTTATGTAGCACATTATTATTATAATTTGATATAACTTTAACAATTCATAGGCCATTTGTTAGACAAGTTTTTTACACTTTTATTTCCGATATTTTTATGTAGAGTTTTTAATTTATCATATGCATTCGAGTCCGTTTATCATATGGAGTGAAAATACAGTTTTAGCCACAACAAATGATTTCTCAACCTTCTGTCTAGTGAAATTTGCTGTCTAGCTGGCAACATTGATAACTTACTATTGGAACGCGCCTAGCGCTTTACTAAAGCTCTGTAGTTGCTATAAATTGTATACTGGGCAAACCTCAGCGGGCAATAAATACTGCTTTTGTGTATTGAATCGGCTCTCCAAAAGCGTCCAAACCAAAAAGCCATAATATAGGATACGATGGGATTGTCACATACAATTGTATAAAAGTTCCTAAATAAATAAAGGAAAAAAATATTATTAGCACATTGCCTACTTTATATAAAGGGCCAGACATTGTTTCGCCGATAATGTTACTTGAGTCATTGTTAAAGTAGTTTCTACATTTATGTACGGACAACGGCACATCAGACTACACATTTTTGTTCGAAAATCGCCTCCAGTGCACCTGAACAAGATACGTCAATGTGTAGCTTGATGTGCTGTGCTTGATACGTAATTACAGACGCAGACGCGAATGAGGATCTTGAGAGGCAGTGCCGAGTCATGTCATTGAAGAGCACAGAACAGTAAATACAGAACAAGTGCTTAGTTTGCTTGGCACGTGTGCCAACAGTACGCGGAGTGCCACATACTCAGTTCGCCATTTTCGCTTAGTACGCTATGGTCGTGTCAATTATCTCGCGCAAAACCTCAAAAACCGTGGAAAAATGCTTTATTTTGCTAATTTGGAGTACAAAAATTACAGTCACATCTGAAACAATATTTATTATACATGGTGGTGTTTCATATTATCGTTAAGTCTTATTTTATTTTGATAAATGTCCCATTTTCTGTTTATCGTAATAGATTTTTTACCGCTGCAATATGGTCGATTTTTTTGGAGAACGTTAATAGGTGTTAATCATTCGTCTTTCAGCTATTGCCGTTAGATGGCAGCACATTGAATGTATCAATTACAAAATAAAAACGTCGTAACTTGCAATATAGGTATTGAACTTTCGACGATATGCCAACGGGGTAAAGTTTAAATTACGAGTTTATCAACAGTCCAGGATTTGTTACATTTAAAAAAATTAGATACTACGACCAATCATTGCCAAGATTTCATAATATTTACAATTATGTATGAATGAGTTTTGACGACAGCAGTTCTAATTGTAATGGAGGTTTAAGGCCTTTCCATTGTTTTTCCACGTCTAGCCCGCTTGCGATAACGCGACGCGATTATCAATTAGGGCACCTGGCCGCGAACTTCGATCTCGATTCAGAACTCTTCGATATTTTAACCGAATCTTTCGTATAGATATCGTTCTCGAATCAAATGAAAATCCTTTTATATACATTCTTAAGACTTTAAAGGCCTAAAATATAGGAATGCATTAGTCTTGTATTAAAACAAATTAATAAAATTGAACAAAATGTAAACTTTATTTAAAATAAACAAGAGATTTCCATATTAAATTCTCGCTTTGTAAACAGTAGGAGGTGTTCTGAGCAATCGTACGAGTGTGACGTCATTTCGGTTCGGTTTCGAATACGACAGTTTGACGTTCGATTTGGGTTTTGTGAATAAAAACGAAAAGAAACCGTACTATATCAAATCGAATCGGTCGACAACTGAGTTATCGTAAGGTTCCGAATCGATCCCCTATTCCGACATCGATATGTTTGATCGTGTTTTCGTACGAATAGATTTCAAACATTATAGTCGCGCCTATCATCGCACGGCAATTAGGACGCCGCGTCCAATTAGGACGACGCTTCTGGCATCAAAAATGTTTACCCAGAACAGGTGAATGATTTTTGCGCGCTGTTCCGAAAGCGACAATGATCTTTCAAAGAAAATCTAAATAAGTCCAAGAATAAACTAGTTCAAACTATGATTTCGAAATGCCAGTTCTGTACTTTTTTAAATCCCTAATTTTCATTTTATTTGTATTTTAGTTTTATTAACATATTTACTATTATATTATATTAACTAGCATTTTATTTTTTAAATTATTTTTTCTACTGCTGTACTTTAACGTGTCAATTATAATTTCATAAACCAATCACAAAGGCCTTCTTTTTAGTTCTAAACGAAAATTCTACTGTCTATGGCACTCGTTACTGAACAAAAAAAAATCATTATAGTTCTGTACACACGACCATAGTGAGTTTCAAGACGAGAACATCGTATTTTTGCTAAATAAAATATCGAATATGACGCTACTCAAAAGCTCTACTACTACCTTGTGATTAGTTAAAATATAAGCGGCCCTTCGCCAATCACGGACATTTGTATGCGATATCTTTGTTTTTTTTTTGTTTTGAAGGCTTTCTTTTGAGTTTGATGTCATGGATTGTTGACAATAATATTTATATTCCGGTTGTCTTTCTTTATTTATATTTACTCGTAGTAAATGTATTGTATGCAATCATTAAACATATAATTAGGTCTTAAAATCTCATACTTTGGCCTAAATACGGTACTCGACTTTAAGAACTCTCATTATGCAATGATTACATAAAATACTATTATTATTATATTAATATATAACGTAATGGGATTCATACCTAAATAAATAATTGAATTATTTTTGATGAATTAATTATGATAAAGAAAAGTTTATAAACGTTTGGCGCATGGTGTTCGGCGCCAACTTTCACTGTTACAAAATATCTTTTTTGTACAGAAATATGTTAATTGAATACAATTTCATCCAGTCCAAGAACAATGATTTAAAATTCAACCATTTATATTAAACTTTCAAGGAGTTCAATTGTCCAAGAGTTGTTTACAAAACTGACTTTAAAGCCGTGAAGTTAAATCGAAATTGCTTTGACAATTCCTTTGCAATTTGTCAAAGTTAAACAGTAATTAACAAGGAAATTTACTGCTAAACGGAATTTTGCTAGCGACGTTTAAACCTTTTACTTTTGGTCGTGTGATTTTGTGCGAGTTTTATTGATGTTGCGTTTTATGGGGCAATACTTTTGCTACTTACTGTGCATGTGAACAAACGAAAGCGTTTCTTAAACTTTCTATTAAAAAAAATCGATGTAAACAATACTAACATCGTATTGTTCTAATTAATTAAATCTTCTAAAATTTTTTATTGAATTGATATTCAATTTTAGTTGGTATAGCGTCTGGCGTGGTTATGCTAGAAGACGTCGGTTCGAATCCGACCGGACCGAAGGATTTTTTCTGAGTGTTCAATCTCTGTATTAATAATAAAAAAATAATAAAAATAAATGAAGCGCGCAGACACATGCATCTCACTTGCCTTATTCACAAAATAGTATTCACGAAGCGACCATTATATCTATATGAAAAACTGGAATGGAGAGGAGATGAATCTGACAGAAATCTGCGAAGTAAAGGTACTTTGTTAAGAATTCCATCTCACAAAACAACCGGATATAAGGGTTCATTCAAGTACTCAGCATCAAAGATCTGGAATAACCTCCCCCATCCTTTACGCGAACACAGATCCCTTTTGAGCCTGAAAATGCATCTAAAGAGGAATATGCTGGTGGATCAAAAGTGAGTGCTTTTATGAAACGCAAAATAAAGGGAAAAATAAGACTCTGTGCGATGTCTATGGAATGTCTATAGAAACTATTTTTTAAATAATTGTATAGAATTGAGATAATTTAATTAATAATTTAAGATAATTCATAATTTTAGATCTGTTAATATTATTATTGGTTTATTGTCATTGTTATTATTATTTCATTTTATTATTATTATTGTTATTATTATTATTAGATAAATAATATTTGATGTTTGTTTGCGATTTGTGTGTGTGATCGACAACGTACAGCTGCCATGGTCGGGTCGAGCTGAAAATCAGGGCTGAAATCACTACAAATTATTTTATATTAATTTTTTTAATAATTCATTAATTCAGTAAATTGCGTAATTACAAATTGTTTATCCTCATTTCTGTAAATTATAATTATTATTATTATTTATAATTTTTTTTTATTATTATTATGTGTGTGAAAATAAATGGTTTAAATGGTTTAAATAATTATAATTAAATATTTTTCATTTATACGAAACACTTATTTAAAAATGCGTTCTGATATTGAAAGGTAAAGTTGCGGTTGAAATTACAGGCACATGCGACTTGTGATGGCCGCAGTGGCAGCGCCTCCTCGATCTATGCCATTTTGAGGCTCTAAGTGGCATTGCAACTGCTATAAACAGGCGAATCGCTTACCACCAGGCGCTCGACTTGTTCGTACGTAGAATATGTCTGGAGTGGTGATTCCCGTATGTTGACGGCATTGTCTCGATTTAATAATATTCTCCGGGACACATAATTCAGCTACATTTTTATTTTTATATGCCTAGGATACAAAATATTAGATAGGTTAGATAGATAGAAAATTCTTTATTGTTAGCACCATATACATAGAAAGATTACAGGACAAAAATCAAGCAATCTATGAAGAAAAACTTTTCCTCGGTTTTACAAATTCAAATTTTCAACAAGGATATGACGTTTTGTCTTCGCGGTAATGTGCGTTCCGGTTTTTAAGAGTAAGGGTGCTGGTCAAATTACAGGTACATGGGACTTGTCACTTACCACTAGGTGCACGACTTGTTTGTCCTGTCACTTGGTATTTCGTGACGTAATTAAATCCGCTTATTGGTACTATTTATTGTATTATCGTCTATATCATACTTTCATAGGTACCTAAAATGCGAGCTCAATCGAGTTATGAAAATTGGGCAGAAAACATCTCATGAAACTATCCAGATTTTGTAGAGCAGCTAACAATCTGCTCTACAAAACCATTAAAAAAAAACCATAACATTTAATAATGCTCTTATAATATTAAAAGTACAATAAATAATTAAACAGCAATATCAACAAAGAAACTAATGCCAACCATATTTAACCGTCACTAAATTGCAATTTAGTATAAAGATTTCAACTCCTTTTCGTATTTAGTCGAGTACACTCTTTTAGGGTCGTATTTTTCAACCATTTGACGCCAAACGTTTTTATCATGGGTCATTAAATGCTTGATCACTTTGCGCATGCCTTTATGTTGAGCATCAGTGCATTTTGCGCAACCCGTTTTCAGACCTTCCGCTATATGTGCTGAAAAATAAAAATGTATCGTTATTATTACATCACAGTGTATGTTTGCCAAGAAATGTTGTATTAAGTGTATAATCCAATCGTATTTAAGTCAGTGTTTTACATATATACGAATAAAGGTTTATTAAATAGTATGAGACAGTTATGATGACGAGTTACGGCGTGTCTACACAAAGTCGACAGTCGCCTTCGGCAGAGTGTTTCGTCTTGCCGAAGGAGGCGCAGTCGATTCGCTGTTTATACCGTATTGGTCGGTGCAGGTGACGCGTATTTTACACTGAGTCGTCTCCAAAAACACCAAATCATTATAAATACAAGTTTACACACAGAGATACAACAAATCATGACCGTCGACAAATTGAACCTTTATGTTCGATTGTCGCTTGCCGAAAGTGACTTAGTCGATAGTGTTTACACCTCGTCGGCTAGGTCAACTTTAGCAGCAACCTAAGAACGTCAAACGACTGAAGTCGGCAGATAAGTGGTGGTGACTTGTTTTTAACCAAGTGCAAATAAAAAGCTTAGAATTAAAAAAAAATAGATTGCTCGTAGTTTCTCACCTAAATGGCTCAAAATAAGCCTTTATTATTTGTGACTGTTGTTTAACCCAAAAGGTACTAATGATATAATAGTACCTGAATTGCATGCTTTTACTTACATTTCAGTTCTCGTCCTTCTGACGTGCATTTTCCTTGATCAAGTACGCATTTATTGTATGCATTGAGCAATCTCTTGTTGGCGATGACCTCATCAATGTTCAGGCTGTCGTACTTATCTGTGTACTTCTCTTCGGCCCATATGCAGGACAGGGTTAGACCAATTGCGATCAGAACAAGTTTCATTCTGTGAAAACGGTACAAGATTTTTATTTAGTAGCAATAAATTAGCTTATAAAAGAGTTCGTTCCTGCCTCCTACTATTGTACTGCCTCCTTGACTATTTCTGCCGTCAAGCAGTAAAGAAAGTTTTACTGCGTTCCGGTTTTGAAGGGTAAGAGGGTTGATGAAATTACAGACACATAGGACTTATCAACTTATCTCTCAGGGTGATGGGTGCAGAGGCAGTGCCCCTCAGATCTATGCAATTTAATGCTCTGAAAAGTAATGGAATTGTTATGAACAGGCATGTAACTTACGACCAGGGGCACGACTCGATCGTCCCGCCACTTGGTGTCATAAATAATAATAATAATAGTGAAGAAGAGCATTGTTAAAAACAGGGCTAACCTGATGTTCACTTGCGTTACATCAAAAAACCCGTGTACGGAGTTTGATATACACAGAAAATTAAAATACGGACGCTAACTCCGTTGAAACTATGCTAACTTATAGTAGTTCATATTCACATTAAAATTTTCAAATTTTGTCTTACAGATATTTATTATATTTATTTATGTTTTCAGGTAAGTGCTGTGAGCACACAAAATAAAACACGAGAGTCCAGAAAGTTCTACAAAGGTTTGTGGATACGTAACGAAAATACGAGTTTACATTCTAATGGAAATTAGAATCTGCTCGAAATTAAAATCTTTAGCTTTGAAATAAATAAATGAGGCTATAGCGCAAGAGTGATGTAACAACACTATTTCTTTTCTACAAAATTACCCAAATTATTCTAAAGTAAAAATTGTTTTATATTTGGATACCATTTTCATGTAAAGAAAAATATTTAATTATATTTTTTTTTGCACGTGAAAATAACTTCCAAATATAAAATGATTATGTATTTTGGTGTCACTTAGGGTCGTATTCCAGAACTCTACTCAATACTCAAGTCAGGATTTGAGTATTGCAGTGAGCACTGAAAATCAGACTCAAGTCCTTGCCATTAGGGTCGTATTTCCATTGCTTGAAATTATACTCAAGTCTGCTCAAGTCCTGACTTGAGCATTGAGTAGAGTTCTGGAATACGACCCTTTAAGTGATATTGCGTAGAAAAAATGGAATGTGGTTTACACCACTACGGCGCTGACAAACTCAAATGTGATCACTTCATGAAGTTGTTAAGGCTGAAACCACATTTATTCATTCCCGCTAAGAAAAGAAACTGTTCGTTTCTTGGCTCTGCAAAAGATGGTGTTAACTTGTTTAGACTTTTGAGACGAACACGTCCATGAATAAGGCCTGTCAATAGCAGTTACAATGCCACTCAGAGCTTTAAATCGCAAAAATCTGATGGCTATTGCCACTGCACCTTTCACCCTGAGGCATAAGACATACGCTGAAACATGACAAGTCTCATGTGCCTGTAATTTTAATAACATCCTTCAAAACGGAAACGCAATAATACTCACATAACTGCTTGGCGGTAGAAATAGGTAAGTGACAGTACTTCCCTGGACGAACTCTTTCAAAAAGAGCTCTATTACTACTAAAATTTGACTATTTTGTAAGAGGCGACACGTGCCCAAGTAGATCTAAGACTTCAAAAACTTTTGTGGGCTCTATAAAACTAGAACTGCCTCCCTGATGCGTCGCGTGCGTGGCAGTTCCAATAGCCTTGTTCGTTTGATCTGGGAGAACCCTGTCAGTAAATTGTGGAAGCACTGGAACTCAGTCCACATGGGTTCCAGGGGTTTAATTTATAAGTTACTGTAATATTTCGCAAATTTAGTACTAACATAGGTTGTAAGAATTTTTTTGTAACTAACACTAATATGGACTATGTCTGAAATAAACTTTTTGAATTTGAATTTGAATTTGAATAAATATCTCACTAAAGTAAATAAATAATAATAGAACATATTATACTAGACAAACATGCATTCACTGGAAATGAAAGTGTGTTTTCTGGATCTGGCATATTTAGTAGCAGTATAGGCCCTTGTAAAAGAGTTCGTTCAGGGAAGTACTGCCACCTTACCTATTTCTGCCGCCAAGCAGTGATGTTAGCATTACTGTGTCCGGTTTTGAAGGGTAAGGGTGCTGGTGAAATTACACGCACATGGGACTTGTCAACTTAGGTCTCAGGGTGACGGGCGCAGTTGCAGTGCCCTTCAGTTCTTTGCGATTTACAGCTCTGAGTGGCACTGCAACTGTTATGGACAGGCGTGTAGCTTACCATCAGGCTTGACGAACAAGCCATATAATAAAAAAAATCTAAATTACGTATAATTGTTTGTTCTACGAAGGATCAACGTTTCCGGTTCTTTACAGGTCCCATCCCACAGTTGATTTAGTCGGAAAATCGAGTGAGATCGGGAAAAAATAGTTTTATTTTCTACGTGTAACAACCACGAATACCTAGAAACTCGATACATTCATTTGTATGTTTGTAGATATACACTACAATGCACCACAAAAGTGCTTAAAACAACGAAAAGTTTGGAATACGTGACACAAATAATAAATATTAGACAACATCACATGCGTTGCTCTGATACCAAAAGTAAGTAACTAAAGCAATTGTGTTATGGAAATCGGAAACAAACAAAAGTTAGTTTTTCTACATTGATCCGGCCGGGGATCGAACCCGGGACATCAAAGATGGTGACACCATTAAAACCGGTGTGACAGCTATTCGATCACGGAGGTCGTCAAACTTAAGCCACGTAATTACCTTTTTTTTACTTTTATACTACTAAATAAATTATAAAAATAATATACGAAATTAAACTAACTAAAAATAGTATTTTCGAAAACTAGAACATGAACGTTTAAAATTAAATAACTTACTTGTTAAATTAGCTGTACTCGTAGAGTAATAGAATAGCTAGACACTTTAAAGTGTAGCGAATCAATCGAGCTATAGTTTAGAACTGTGGAGATCAGAAACAATGCATGTTTTTATAATCGAGGTTTCTTTTCTCCGAGATACTCTTGCACAATTTCAATAATACGCCACTCCGAGTACCTTCAGTAAGGTTGAGGAAAATTAATAATGTTTCCTTATACAGGCTGTAGGAAAACGGATTACAATTTGAATTTCCATTAAATCTCTCTATTTTTATAAACACTTAAATGATAATTTAATACATTTAGTAAAAGTGACGTAATTGTGCTTGGGGTTTCTCTGATGGACTGAATTCCTAATTTGCCCTCCTTGTAACTACTACTACTCCTTGTACTAACGTAATCGATATTGCAGTATTAATTTCGCCTCATAAAACTATACAATACCATAACGATCTTACTTTCTCAAATCTTATAATCTATAAAGAGTATATATATATCTTATAAAGAGTGATTATTCAGGAGATGGGAAAACTTTATATTTATTTTAAATTTCTTATCAAGGGAGTTAATTTGGATGCATTACTTAATTTGGATGCATTACTTAATTTGGATGCATTACTTTAAGAATAGGTAAAAGCCAGTGTGTGAATATGAAGGAAATGTGATGTGAAATCAGCCTGCACAATTTGTATATACACTTCAAGTTTAGCAGTTCAGTAACTTTGTGCTTTAAGATACGAGTTTGAGAAAATAAGGCGTCGATAAGCTCTTTATCTCGACGAAATAATCTGCCTTTCTCGCTTGCACCTTTGCACTGCTAATTACTCTAACTCTCTTATAATCTTAATCGAGTTGACTATGCTACGTAAATCTGAGCAAATGAATAAAAAAAGGGCAATGGTGTAATTGTGCTTGGGGTTTCTCCCATGGACTGAATTCTTAATTTGCCCTCCTTGTCATAAGGAACGTAATCAATATTTTCAGCGAAATTGAGTTATTACTATATCTGGGATCAGCGAAACAATATCTATAACCCTTTTTGTCAATATATTATGTCTTATTTTTTTATATTTTATGTAGCATAAGTTTTGTTGTTAAGCAAATTCAGTGTAACTGCCATTTTTGAGGTGGCAATAAAACTTTCAGTACGAACGTCTCCAAAGTTAATGTGTTAGATGAGACAAGGAGGGCAATAATGAAGTCATATGTCAGAAAACTAAACAGAGCGAGATCTCGCAAAATCAGTAAGCTTAAGTGGTAATGAGCCAGACATGTCTGCAGGAGGGCTGATGGCCGATGAAGCAGACTTGTTCCAGAGTGGCGAACACTAGAACGGCAAGATGGACGGACGACCTGAGAAAGAGAGAACCAACCGGGAGAGTTGGCGTGCTCAGGGGGACGCTTATATCCAGCAATAGATGAGTGTAAGCTGATGATGTAAAAGTGACAAGGAGTAGTTGTTAGATCAAAATAATATTGTTCTGCGTAAAACTGGATATACAATTGAATATAAACAGTTTTCCAGAAACTACAATTGAACCTATTCAAGTCTGGAGTGAAAACGCATTTTTGAAACAATCGGGAACCATGGCCGTCAAATCGTCGCTTGTGTCACCCAAAAAACTTTGTCCATACGACGAGAATGTAAATACGTTTCGCGTTTCGCTTGGCCCTCCACTCTCGTTTTCAGGCCAACATCTTTCCGAAACAAAGCTTCATACTTGACATTGTCTTTTAATGTGATCGAGAATTACTTATTTGACGTTTTTTGTTTCGTACTAATGTCGGGCGGAGAACGCGAAAGGCACGACGTCATTTTCTTTTTTATTATATTACGGACACAAAGCTTTATCTGACCGGCTTAATGTGATTTCGTGTTGACTTCCTATAGGATCAGGCGTCTATTTTACATTGAAAAATATATACTTATTATCTATAAGACACTGAGAATGTACATTTATTTATTTAGATACACCATCGGCACATACATAGAGAAATTTACACTGTTTTAACATATAATTTTTTATACCATTACAGGTATACAGCATTTACGAAAACTACCTTAATTTTAAAAGAAAATGGAAACAAAATTACTGTATACAAAAAAAAAGAAAATTAAAACTACTATCTAGAAATTATTGAACAAAACAAAACCTCTAAGACTCCACCTTTAAAGCAGTTGTGACATTCCGTTTGAACTTATATAATGAGTCGTGGAAGATGTCAACGTCGTCTGTATTAACGTTATTAAAAATTCTTGTGCTACGGAAAAGAGAAGAAAAATGGCCCACATTAGTACGAGATACAGGAACCAAAAATATATTTCGCGCTGGATAACATGGAAGCCTTCTAGAAGTCGCCAAATTATCGCTAAATTTACATATCTATGGAAACATAATTAATTCCATTAGATTTATTTTCGTCTCTACATTTTGAGTTTTTTTTCGATTGTCTATTATTTTTTATCAATTTTACATTGTGAATTCTTACATTGTGATGAATTGTGTTATTGTAACAGTTTTTATAAGTAAAACTAAATTTTAATTTAAGAGAAAACCTAGGAAGTTAAACCTAATATCCTATCCATTATATCAATAACATACTCTAATAAATGGAAGTTTAGTCCAGCATACGTATTCTCTACGTCTTTGATAAGAAATTCTTCAAACGATGCGCAAAGAGGCATCTTGTTGGTAGACAAATTGAACACAAACTCTGAGATAACTGAAATACGTTAAGGTTATGGGGTATAAAAACGCTTTTCTCTGTTTATGCAGCGAACTGTGACTCCACAACCCTCTTAACTCAGCAGTCGAACTCGTTACCGTTAATTAAAGATCATTCTGATAAAATAATCAATTACACATATTATTTTGTATTTAATTTGTGCTTTAGTTTACGTGTTTTGTCAATTGATAGCCATCGAGTATATAACCAGAAATAGAGGCGAAATATCATTTAATTTGTGAGAAAACTATTCTGCCATATCATTACTGTGACAACTGCGCTCCGATTGGCCAGCCCGAATTCGAAACAATTGACGGGTGTCGTCAATTGTTTCACTTCAAATCGACTAGGTATCTTAAGATTTGTTATAATAGACGAAAATTGCAAAATGACATATTTAATATTTTTACCGATGCAATGTGATTCCGTTTGTTTTATAGTTAGATGTTTTGCTGTTTTTCCCACATCACCGAATAGAACAGCACGGCTTTGTTACAGATATGTATTATCTTTATTACAATAAATACAGAATATTTTTTGGAATATACGGAGACTTACACACAGGTCAGTAGTTGGCCTGTCTATAATTCAGTGCAAACGGGAGATGGTATTTATAAGAGCTGTATCGCTAATGTGTTATCAGGAATATAAGGCCCTTATTTCGTCTCTATTTCTGGTTATATACTTGATGTTGATAGCACAGTACAAATCATTTTGAAAAGAGCTATAATAAAATGTAAAATTTTTAGGCTATATTTTACTGTATCAAAAATATTATCTTCTTCTGGGTATGCCATTTCCTATCAGATGTGGGCTATCATTGTAGCCACTTGTGACCATGAAGTTCCGGCTCGGAAAAGATTCTTTACAAGATTTTGGAGCCACATGGATATTTCTACGGCCACGTTTTTATAACTTCTTTTTCTTTGCACAATAACAATGATAAATTTAATTACTAGTACTGTAATTTCGTCTGTTTTATGGTTTTAGGGAATTCCAAGCCTCTGTGCATCCTCTACAATATAAAGTTATAAAGTGGTAATGACAAGAATTTATATAGCATTGAATAAAGGAAATAATATAATGAGCACGCATAATATAGGAAAGATCTAAAAAGAAACATCCTCCTTCTTTATGATATCAAGCGGTAGGACGAACAACTAGCGGGTCTGGTAGTACGCGTCACGTCTATCCATAACAGTGGTAGTGACAGTCAGAGCTTGAAATCGCAAAAATCTGAGGGTCACTGCCACTGCGTCCGTCAGTCTGAGATATAAGTTGACAAGGCCCACGTACCTGTCGTTTCACCAGCTCTCTTACCATTTAAAGCCGGAACGCAGTAATCACAATCACATTATTGCTTTTCACAACTTTCCTGGATGAACTGTTTCACGAGAAGCTGTGATACTACAACTTATTCAGTTTAAAATAGAAAAATTCTTCGAATTTCACTTTTGAAAAAGTTAAACGTATATTTGGTGTAAGTATATGCCTGACTTCACAGGAAGCTTCAACAAAGCCAATCTGGCTTTTTAGCGAGGATTTCTAAATTTGGCACCGAGGAACTCATGGTTTTCATTGCAAAAGGAACAAATTTGTAGCATTGGTCGAGACGGCAGAATCCGATATCCCCATCCTTGCGTGGACATAGGAGAAAGTCACAGCGTCCGCATTCAGAATGTCATAAATCATTTACAGCACTCTCACTGTTTGGTCTTCAGTAATAGTACAGTCTTCATTAGGTATGCTAGTAATTTTGAACTTAAGATTTAAAATAAAATAAATAAAAGACATTTATTTCTCCGCAAAATATAAGAAACACATTTGAGTGATGTGAACAAAAAGGTTAAAGATTTAGCATTGCCGATTTTCTTATTATTATATTACATTCTTCTATGATATTTTTATATTACAGTCTTCACCTGTAGCTAGCTAGCTGTTCGCTTGCAGCATCAAGCTAATATGCGGAGTTTACATCAAGTAATAACTTACCTTACGTAATAAATTTAATGGCTGTCCGTGTAAAATTATATCTTTATGCATTTGTCCTGAAATTTAAAATTTTGTGCTGCTAGAAGTTTTAAGCTTTATAGTACTTATGATTGAAGTCTTAAAGTATGAAAAAACAGCATGATTTCATGTAAGTAATGATTTAAACAATTACAACACCTAGTTATGCAAATTTGTTGCAGCCACCTGGGCATGATGACATCCTTTATCGCATGCCATAATATAAAATAAAATAAACGGACGTAATTGATAAAACAAGAACGCCCTATGAGTTGATCGTGATCTTGATAAGTACTATTACTGAGTCACTTTTACAAACTCTTGCGCCATTATCATAAAGCCTTGTGAATAATTGTTCATTAATTGCGGGAGGATTCAACCTTTTTTT